CACTGCTGTGCTGTGTTCACACACCTTCCAGGAGAACACAACTCTGCAGTAATCAAGGGTCCATTTGCCCACTGGGCCTCCAAAGGAGAGTTAGTTTGAGGTCAGATAGGACATTGTGAGTAAATTGTACACAGAGAAACTGGGTGATAAATTATTGCGTAGGTAGTTGTTTTTGTTAGTGCTGTGGCCAAACTTCCCTTTTGTGGTTTTGGATCTGATGATGCATTCAGCTAAATTAAACATTGGATAAAAGGGAATACACAAATAAAAATACACTCTTTGGATTTGATAATTTTTTCCCCATTGACATGTAAATGTTTATTTGTGTGTTATGTGTTCCATGCTGGTGACTTCATTGGGATGTTTTGATGTGAAGTGGCCTCCTGAGTGGCGCAGTGGTCTAAGGCATCGCATTGCAGTGCAAGCTGTGCCACTAGAGATCCTGGTTCGAATCCAGGCTCTGTCGTAGCCGGCCACAACAGGGAGGCCACTGTGTGTTGAGTAAAGGTGGTCTAGAGTTTTTTTTCCTCTGGTTGCACATTTAACATGCTGGTAGAAATTAGGTAGAACGGATTTAAGTTTCCCTGCATTAAAGTCCCCGGCCACTAGGACCGCTGCCTCTGGATGAGCGTTTTCCTGTTTACTTATGGCCTTATACAGCTCATTGAGTGCAATCTTAATGCCAGCATCGGTTTGTGGTGGTAGATAGACAGCTACGAAAAATATAGATGAAAAGTCTCTTGGTAAATAGTGTGGTCTACAGCTTATCATGAGATACTCTACCTCAGGCGAGCAAAACCTCGAGACTTCCTTAGTATTAGATTTTGTGCACCAGCTGTTGTTTACAAATATACACAGACCACCACCCATTGTCTTACCGGAGTCAGCTGTTCTATCCTGCCGATGTAGTGAATATCCCGTCAGCTCTATGTTGTCCATGTCGTCGTTCAGCCACGACTCTGTGAAATATAAGATATTACAGTTTTTAATGTCCCGTTGGTAGGATAACCGTAATCTTAGGTCGTGCAATTTATTCTCAAATGATTTAACATTGGCTAATAGGATTGATGGAAGAGGCAGTTTACTCGCTCGCCGTCAGATCCTTACAAGGCACCCCGACCTGCGTCCACGATATCTCTGTCTCTTTCTTATGCGAATGACGGTGATTTGGGCCTTGTCGGGTGTGTGTAGGATATCCTCCGCGTCCGGCTCGTTGAATAAATAATATTTGTCCAATACAAGGTGAGTAATCGCTATCCTGATATCCAGATTCTCTTTTGGTCATAAGAGACGGTGGCAGAAACATTATGTACAGAATAAATTACAAATAACGCGAAAAAACACACTTAATAGTGCAATTGGTTAGAGGGCTGTAAAACGGCAGCCGTCTTCTCCGGCGCCACTTCATGGTTATAATCATGGTTACATTCAAAAGAATGACTTGATAAGAAATCCAAAAAACATAAATAACCATCGTCAAAGCTCAGTTGGGCATGATACACAACATTAGGGGTAGTGTAAGGTGAAGTAGTAACCTGGGGTAACACTGTATTTGGATAGTCCATCTGTAGATCCTACAGACTAACAGTAACATTTAAACTAACTACCTACTAACCCTAGCGCTAACCCTAACCTTAACCCTAATCCGTACCCTAAACGTAACCCTTACCTTAGCCCTAGCCCTAACCCTAAGCATAACCTATATTCTAAACCTAACCCTAATCGTAACCTTAGTAAGCAGTTGCTTATCAACAGATTGTTTGTTGATAGAATCACCAGCTGTAGAGCATCTACAGATGGACTATCCAAATACAAAAATGTGACCTAATCTGGTGCTAGGTGGTCTCGTGTGGCTCAGTTGGTAGAGCATAGCGCTTGCAATGCTAGAGGTGTGGGTTTGATTCCCATGGGGGACCATTATGAAAAATACATGCACTAACGACCGTGAGTGACTCTGCATAAGCGCGTCTACTAAATCAGTGTTTCTCAAACATCTCCTCAGGGACCCCCAGATGTTTCACAGCTTTGTTGTAGCCCTGAGCTAGCTCACCTGATTAAAGTAGTCAAGGGCTTGATGATTAGTTGACAAGAATCAGGTGTTCCAGCTCTGGAATAGTTAGAATGTCTGGGGGTCCCCGAGGAGAGGTTTGAGAACCACTGTGCTAAATGACTAAAATGTACAGTACCACTCAAAAATGTGGACGCAACTACTCATTCAAGGGTTTTCCTTTATTTGTACTATTTTCTACATTGTGAAACAACACATATGGAATCATGTAGTAACCAAGAAAATGTTAAACAAATCAAATATATTTTATACTTGAGATTCTTCAAATAGCCACCCTTTGCCTTGATGACAGCTTTGCACACCTTTGGAATGCTCTCAACCTGCTTCACCTGGAATGCTTTTCCAACAGTCTTGAAGGAGTTCCCACATATGCTGAGCACTTGTTGGCTGCTTTTCCTTCACTCTGCTGTCCAACTCATCCCAAACCATCTCAATTTGGTTGAGGTCGGGGGATTGTGGAGGCCAGGTCATCTGATGCAGCACCCATCACTCTCCTTCTTGGTAAAATAGCCCTTACACAGCCTGGAGGTGTGTTGGGTCATTGTCCTGTTGAAATGCAAATGATAGTCCCACTAAGCCCAAACCAGATGGGATGGCGTATCACTGCAGAATGCTGTGGTAGCCACGCTGGTTAAGTGTGCCTTGAATTCTAAATAAATCACAGACAGTGTCACCAGCAAAGCACCCCCACACCATAACACCTCCTCCTCCACGCTTTACGGTGAGAAATATACATGCGGAGATCATCCGATCACCCACACCGCGTCTCACAAAGACACGGCAATTGGAACCACAAAACTCAAATTTGGACTCCAGACCAAAGGACACATTCCACCGGTCTAATGTCCTTGCTCATGTTTCTTGGCCCAAGCAGGTCTCTTCTTCTTATTGGTGTCTTTACTAGTGGTTTCTTTGCAGCAATTCGACCATGAAGGCCTGATTCACACAGTCTCCTCTGAACAGTTGATGTTGAGATGTGTCTGTAACTTCAACTCTGTGAATCATTTATTTGAGATGCAATTTCTGAGGCTGGTAACTCTAATGAACTTATCCTCAGCAGCAGAGGTAACTCTTGGAGCCAGTTTCCTCATAGCGTTTGATGGTTTTTGCGACTGCACTTGAAGAAACTTTCAATGTTCTTGAAATGTTCCCTATTGACTGACCTTCATGTCTTAAAGTAGTGATGGACTGTCGTTTCTCTATGCTTATTTGAGCTGTTCTTGGCATAATATGGACTTGGTCTTTTACCAAATAGGGCTATCTTCTGTATACCCCCCTACCTTGTCACAACACAACTGATTGGCTCAACTGATTGGCTCAAACAATTCCACAAATTAACATTTAATGAAGCTGGTTGAGAGAATGCCAAAAGTGTGCAAAGCTGTCGTCAAGGCAAAGGGTGGCTATTTGAAGAATCTCAAATATAAAATATATTTAGATTTGTTTAACACTTTTTTGGTTACTACATGATTCCATATGTGTTATTTCATAGTCATGTCTTTACTATTATTCTACAATGTAAAAAATAGTAAGAATAAAGAAATACCCTTGAATGAGTAGGTGTGTCCAAACTTTTGACTGGTAGTGTAAATGTAAGGTGATATTTACATGGTAAGGTCTGCCCTCTGGTGGTTTAACAATATATTGCTAAAATGAAATGTATACAATTGTAAAATAAAAATAAAAATAAAAATATGTTGACAGTGTGATGATGACATACACTACATGGCCAAAAGTATGTGCAATCCTGCTCGTCGAACATTTCATTCCAAAATCATGGGCATTAATATGGAGTTGGTCCTCAATATTAGCCTCCACTCTTCAGGGAAGGCTTTCCACTAGATGTTGGAACATTGCTGCAAGGACTTGCTTCCATTCAGCCACAAGAGCATTAGTGAAGTCGGGCACTGATGTTGGGCGATTAGGCCTGGCTCGCAGTCGGCTTTCCAATTAATCCCAAAGGTGTTCGATGATGTTGAGGTCAAGGCTCTGTGCAGGACAGTCAAGTTCTTCCACATCAATCTCGACAAACCATTTCTGTATGGACCTTGCTTTGTGCACGGGGGCATTGTCATGCTGAAACAGGAAAGGACCTTCCCCAAACTGTTGCCACAAAGTTGGAAGCACAGAATCGTCTAGAATGTCATTGTATGCTGTGGCATTAAGATTTCCCTTCACAGGAACTAAGGGGCCTAGCCCAAACCACAGAAAACAGCCCCAGACCATTATTTATCCTACGCATTCTCCTGGCATCCGCCAAACCCAGATCCGTCGGACTGCCAGATGGTGAAGCGTGATTCATCATTCCAGAGAACGCGTTTCCACTGCTGTAGAGTCCAATGGCGGTGAGCTTTACACCACTCCAGCCGACGCTTGGCATTGCGCACGGTGATCTTAGACTTGTGTGTGGCTGCTCAGCCATGGAAACCCATTTCACGAAGCTCCCGACGGACAGTTATTGTGCTGACGTTGCTTCCAGAGGCAATATGGAACTCGGTAGTGAGTGTTGCAACTGAGGACACTCGATTTTTACTCGCTACGCGCTTCAGCACTTGATAGTCCCGTTCTGTGAGCTTATGTGGCCTACCACTTCGCGGCTGAGCCGTTGTTGCTCCTAGAGGTATCCACTTCACCGTACTTACAGTTGACCAGGGCAGCTCTAGCAGGGCAGAAATTTTACAAACTGTCTTGTTGGGAAGGTGGCATCCTATGACAGTGACACGTTGAAAGTCACTGAGCTCTTCAGTAAGGCCATTCTGTTGCAAATGTTTGTCTATGGAGATTGCATGGCGGTGTGCTCGATTTTATACACCGGGTGTGGCTGAAATAGCCGAATCCACTAATTTGAAGGGGTGTCCACATACCTTTGTATATATAGTGTATGAATAATTTTAGCTGTTTCACTTTCAATATAGCATACTTCAAATGAACAGTGTCAGTAAAGTAGATATATTAAGATAGATTTACAGAATCAGTCCATTTACAGTAATGTGGCAGAATATAAACAAATTCAGTCTGGTGGAAAAAATGGGACAACACATTAGACACAATTTGAATAGCAATATACATTTATGATTCACAGTTTCTACAGTGAATTTATCACATATTCCATGGTAATCCATGGAAATGTCATGAAAATCTGGACATTACTGTTGATTTAAAGCCTTTTGCTGAATTATAAGTAACTTAATTTCGGCCATACAGCTCAAACAACATCAAACACACAACATTTCTCAACTGTATGCAATTTGTCAATCCATGGCCCCTGTCACACGGATAGGTTGGGCTTATTCATGGCCTGGGCTTCATATGCGATGCAGATCTGAAGAAGGTGAAGATGTGTGGTGTAGATAGGAGCGCTTCAGAGGATTGTGTAAGAGATGGTGGCAGTCTTACGGTAGACACCCAAAGCAGGCGGGGTGGGCACAGATCTCACACAGATCTGGAGACGTGATGGCATCCACTGGGGAGAGACAACAATAACACACAAGGTTAACATATGGCTATGGCTGCCATAGTGTCAGATACAATGCTAATATTGACCATGGGAGGAAGTGAATCAGCCTCGTTAAAGGGTTTACAGAGCAAAATAGAGGCACTTCTTTGTCTCGCACACTTTATTGCACTCAAATGCTATTTGTTCAGCTTTCATTGGGCTCTTGTGAGTAGAATCACTCGTGAGCAACACACATAAATCATGTCGTTAAGTGGACGTAGAAGGATATATTATACGCAGGAATCATTCTCTTTAGGCAGCAGGACTGGCTGTGTCCAGGCCAACATCTGCTGCTTGTTGTAGCAAGCCATCTACTGCAACAGCCTGCGTATGTGTTCCAGCTCTCTGCTACAGCTAACAACAGGTGCTGTGAGAGCGTATGCCTCAGTCTCCGAGAATCGCTTTCCTGGGTTGTCCATGTGTGCTCATGTGGAATCAAAAGAGGAAATATGTCAATACTGTCACATCTGTGACAGCTTTGCTCAAGCAGTTATGGGGGATCATGTTGTTGATCGTATAAAAAGGATGAATGATATGGGATGGATGCAGTGTCTCTAACACTCAGTAAATCCTGCCAGGTTACAGAGCACTTTGGCTGCCGTTACTGGTGGTTAGAGGTCGTCAGCTGATAACAAGGCAGATATTCATCAGTGTTTCACTGAAACCATTCAATGTGCTAATGACTACCAATAGATGCTGAACCCTTCAGAGTCAATCCCTTGAGGATGGATTACGTTTCCATTATCATTGACTTTAAACGCCTTTCAATCTGCATACACCCTTCACTGAGTACACAACATAAATTCAGTTCAGAACAGGCCCCATAGGGAGGTTGTGGGGTCTTTAAAGGAGTAGTTCACTATTTTACAACGTGACGTTAGATGATTCCTCACCCTGAAAGTAGACTAGGGCCAGGACAAACTGTAATCCATGGTTCAGTTTTCTTTAAACAGATATTACAAGCTTCAGCTAACTTTAGCCACCGCTAGCTAAACGTCTATGGAAGTGATGGGGGCATTATGGCCAAATCACCTTTAAGGAACATCAAACCAAATATGGAGTTAATTTCAGGTGATTTGGGAATTATTTTTTAAAACATGCTCACATGCCCCCATCACCTACATTGATTCTTAGCTAGTGGTGAAAGTTTGTAATGGCTGTTTAAAGAAAACGGAACCATGGATTACAGTTTCTCCTGGCCCATAGACTACTTTCAGGATGAGCAACGATCCAACAAGTTGTAAAATAGTGAATTACTACTACTTCTTTAAAGAGTATCTTAAATAAATCCCACGGTGCCCCCGCCCGAAAAACGAACGAACAAACAACAATTAAACAATGAAATGGGGCCTCCCGAGTGGCACAGTGGTCTAAGGCGCTGCATCGCAGTGCTTGAGGCGTCACTACAGACCTGGGTTCGATCCCAGGCTGTGTCACAACCGGCTGTGACCGGGAGTCCCATAGGGTGGCACACAATTGGCCCAGCATCATGAGGGTTTGGCTGGGGGGGTGTTACTTGGCTCATTGTGCTCTAGCGACTCCTTGTGGTGGGCTGGGTGCCTGCAGGCTGGTCGTCAGTTGAATGGTGTTTCCTCCAACACATTGGTGCAGCTGGCTTCCGGGTTAAGTGGGCAGGTGTTAAGAAGCACAGTTTGGCGGGGGACATGTTTCGGAGGACGCAAGATTTGACCTTCGCCTCTCCCGAGCTCGTTGGGGAGTTGCAGCGATGAGACAAGATTGTAATTGGATGTCACGAAAAAGGGGGTAAAATAATGAATGCACTTTTTCCTACTGGCACTGACTTTGCTGATAACTACATTGTTGAGGGAATCTCTGGATAAGAGCGTCTGCTAAATTACTAAAATGTAAATGTAAACATTTTGTGAAAACAGGTCACCTTCCCCACCAATTCCAACAACTTCAAAAACGCTGAAGCAGGTAATAGCCTATAGCTTGTGTTTGAATGCTAAAATGTACAGTTTATGGATTTTTACAACAGATAAGGTGGATAGGGGCAATAAGACAAACCATTTTTAAAGTCATATACCAATATTGAATGACAATATTTCAGTCCACCCACTACTCAAAGCACTGTTTGTTTATGGCACAGCCTTACCTAGCCTAGAGAAGACCATGGCTGCCCCTTTTCCCTGGCACACTGGATAGAAGGCCTGTGGCAGGACAGGGTTGTTACAGACAGAGACCATGTTGGTGTTGATCAACCGCGGGTTAACCATGGCATCTGCGTCCATCAGCTCCTTCAAAGCTTTCACAGTCTCTAGGGGATAGCTCCGTTCTCCATCCTGGACACGGTGAAACACATGGATGAGATGGTGAATTCTCTAATTTACCCTTGCATAACCCTTAATTTTCAACATTAGGTTGACATTATTAGACAACCAAATGTGTTGTTCCACTATTAATGTGACAGGTTTATAGAGGTGATTCTCATAGCGTAAGAGATTATTATACAGATAAGCCAGTTAATAACCTTGTGAATGAGTTCAAAAGAAGTGTAACGGTGTGTGGATTCCAAACAAGAATGAATAAACCCCAACAGAATGAATTGCTATATGATAATTAAAACCAAACTAAAAGAAGATAGCTTTTTAATGCTCTATACAATTAATGGGCAGTCAGTCATAGTCTGGCCGTCATTGTAAATCATAGTTTGTTCTTGATTGACTTTCCTGGTTAAATAAAGTTGAAAGAAATAGAGAACAATGTCAAATGTTGATGCTCTCCTCTGACTTGACAATGGCCCCACATCTCTTTAGTGGTCTATCATGAAGTTAAGCTCTTAGTCAAAGTGCGTTGTTATAAGGGATCTATTTCTTTATCAGTCTGTTGTTAAAAGGGATCTATTTCTTTATCAGTGTGTTGTTGAAAGTGATCTATTTCTCTAGTTTCACTAACTTATCTTCACATGTGTAAACCAGTATCTCTAAACTCCAGACACTTACAGATATCGTTAATCAAATAACAAACCCTATACACCTCCAGAAGAATGTCCTTCCCCCCATGTCTCAAACAACAAAGAGTCACAAAACTCCAAACATTTCTGACCATGGACATAAAGAAGAGATATACTCACCCTAATCTCAACACTCAGTGAGCCCCAGAGGATACAGGAGGTCAATACGAGACAAACACTCAGTGGTTTCATTTTCAGCTTCGCCCGGATGTCTCAGAGAGCCTTGAGATGCAGAGAGAGGAGCCTACAGCTTGAATTGAGGTGTGCCTCTGCTCTGCCCTTTATAAACCCATCGCTGGACAGATTAAGTCACTTATTAACGCAGGGGCTGGGTGCCTATCTGATAACAAAACACAAATGTGTTATGCCACAGCATCCTATTTTTTTTCTTTATCAACCTCTGTAGATGCCCCTGTCGCTATGTTGTTTGTATGCTTTTATTGTTGACATGATGTTCCATATTGACGTCCTTAGTGCCAATTAAACATCCTATAAATCTAATTTCTCCCATCTCACCCACAGTCATTTATCATTAAACCCTGATAACAAAGCAACAGGCTATCTGTCCAAATGTATAGTGCTTGTTTGCATTTTAGGTCTGATAGTGACCTTGTCAAATTGTTTGAATAGGTCTGTCTAATAGTCCTCCAAATATTTGTGGTGTTTGCAATCTGCAACATGGAGGCTGAGGCTGTAATTCAATCAAACCTGCCACAACAATGCGTATGCTGTGACTTTGTTTACAATCTACCTATGACGTGCACACACTTCCTTTGGCTGGAAACTGGAAGCATCTATCTGTGATGAATCTACCTGATAGTATTAGAGGTACCATTGTCTATGACTGTTGTTATTTCAAACAATAACAAAGTGGGCACCTGCCACTGTTTTTGGTAAACCGCTGAGGGATGGGCTGGAGAAATGTAAATTCATAGACAGAGATATGGATGCAAGGACTAACCAGACATGACATCAAAATTATAGTTTTAACCATGCTTTGAGGCTATACAGTGTTAACAATTACATTGTTTACAAACAATGGTGTAAAACAAGCGTGTATTTTGGCAGTACGACAGTAGAACTAAGCTCATGAAGCATTTACAAGTTATATTCTTCAAGAATCAATGGGTACATATCATTAACTTAAAAGTCAAAAAATGGATGTAGCAATCACAGATTGCCCATTTAATACTGCAATGTAGGTTTGATTGAATTGAGTTATTTGGCTGCATGTTATTTTTAATGACACAAAGGATATTCTAACAGTTGTCTCTTTGCTTGTCAGTCAGCATTACAAAGAGAATGTGGCAGAATACATACTTTACATTTTCTGGCACATTCACTCTGGCTCCAAGAGTAAAAATGGTAGAATGGCCTAAAAACACTGAAGGTTACTAGTGATTGTCTCTTTGTGCTTGTGAACTGTATCACTATTTTTATTTAATGCCAATAATAGTACTTAACTACACATCTAAACAACACATAGCCTACAAATAACATTGGGAGCATCAACTACATTAGGGCCGGGCACTTGGCAGATCTGGTCTTAGAGGGATGCATACTGTAGCTAACACAATGGGATTCTAAAATGAAGACTATAATTAGTAGATTTTTTGAGTCAGATGTGTTAGCTAAGGATGGGGCAATAAGCTTCCCACGCTACAAGTTCGAAATACGGAGCAGAATCTGGAAGGTTGATGGTTCAATTCCCAACACTGGCAACACTGAGAGTTATAGGATTTGAAGATCTACAGGTACTAGCTAGAGGGTTGCTGTTATTTATTACTGTTGTGCAATCTACTACTGTCTATGAATTTACAATATATACCAACGAATCAATGTCTAGGTAGTGAAGCAAAAGCACAGTGACAATAGAATAGACTGTGGGACGTAAGTTGTGCACTGGGGCAGCACTTAGCCTTAAGATGTACCATTAACCTCTCAATTGATGTGTGTGTGCGTGTGCGTGTGTGTGTGTTTATGCGTGTGTGCTCGCGTTTGTGTGTTTGTGTATGTGTTGGGGAAAGACACAAATTTCAAGTTTCAAACAAAAGTGAATAAAGTATTATTCTCTGTGTTGTGCCAATATCAGCCAGTTTATCAGATATGTTATATTCAAGGTTTGCTGTTGCAGTTGGTAGACCACTCACTGAAACAACATTACATGTTCTTCAAATATTTTTATTAAACATGAGGCATTTATAAACATACAAAAGAATACAAAAAACCCCAAAACAAAAATACATCTCTACATTAAATAAGTACAAAGCCTGGTAAGATAGAACTGTAACATATCAAAATGAAAGTCAAGTGATAAAAGGAAAATAAAAGAAGTAGACAAATAAGTGCTGAATAAAGCTCCAAAGTAACAGTTTCTAGAAAATGAGCCATCATTTAATATATATTTTTTAATTTGTGGTCCAGTTATCTTTTGGGCCAATCATGTGTGAGGATGGCAATTTGTATACATGAAATCCACATTGTTGTCACAATATGTAGAATGATCATGTGGGTGGCTTGTCTTCTGCTGGCAGTCAGGTTGATATCTTGCCTAACAGCCTGTGCAGGCAACAAAGGCACAGATCTCACAAATGTCTATAGGCATAGCAGCTGGAAGAAAGAAGACAAAGGTACAGTGTTAAAAACATGTTTCAAAATCACTAAATCAATTCAAACTACAACCACACATTGCAGAGATCAACTAGTATAAAAGAGAGAGCGATGTTCTATAAAATTCTGATAAATGACTCGCCATCAGCAAATTATTACGGTCTTATCACAATCTGGTCTGTTCCACCAAGTTGGACTATAGTGGATATTATTCTATAGTGTGGCCTTTTCTTACCTAGTCTTGAGAGAGACATGCTGGCCCCTCTCTGCATGCACAGCGGCATGAACTCCTGTGGCAGGGAGGGGTTAGCACAGACGGAAGCAAAGCTGGTGCTGGCGAGATGAGGATTCTGCTTCTCGTTTACACTGCTGCTCTCTGTCAGTTTTTGGAGCTTCTTCACTGATTCCAGTGAGAAAACAAAGTCGCCCTCCTAGAGAGAAGAGAAGAGAGGAGAGAGACACGGTTAGAGATATCTGTGAGTCATATTGGGGACCAGGCCAATCATATAGATGCTTTACACATTCTATATGTGACAAGGATGCCCATAGAGTTGCAATGATAGCTTGCACCAAGTATGCGCTTTGTTAAAAAAATGCCACATTGAATTTTGTCTGTTAGCTACATAGCGAGAGTTAACAAAACATTTTTCCATTAGTTTACAATTTTTGCAAAGTCCAATTGAGTATGAGTTTGAATCTGACATTACTGCAGTTTAAAGTCTTCATATTATAATGCATTATAGTAAGGTAAATCTTGCTGTAAGAGGAGCCTTTACCTGTACTTTGACTTGGACGGCATGGGCTTCAGAGACCAGATAGAGAGCCAGGAGCACAAGAGCAATGGCGAGAATGGTTTTCATCTTGTATTTTGACAGGTTTGCTTTGAGCCTTTAGTCTTGCTGCTGTTGGTATCACCTCATTCTCTGCTCTCCATTCATCTCACTTCTGCCTTTTAAAGGGTTGACTTTCAACTCAGCTCAGCCTTGCTGGCCTGGGATTGGCTAAACTGCAAATGGGAGCAAAGTATTTCTCACGGTTGAATGAGTAGTGATTGTGGATTTTAAAAGGTCATAAAGGGGGATTCATAAATTCTCTCTGACCTCATCCACAGTGTGATGTTTTTATGGACCGTTACTTGATGCCTCCACTTACGACGTTGGTTAACAAGTAATCCCTGTACAGTCACACAAACTGTCTTTATGCTGAATCTAGACAAACTTTGCAGTTTACACAAAATAATACTATTACACACACTTTTTTGGTGTCTGAAAAATATTTTTGTTACAATTTATCTGTTGTCTGCAAGGATGGTAAAACGATTATAAATGGTCCTTTGGGCTCCAAGAACATAATAACCTAAATAACATGAAATAACATCAATGAGCAGCCTACTTGTATCAAAGAATTGAAAACATAATAATGCTGCAATATTATAATTAGATTATTATAATTACACAGTCAGACATTTTAGGAGCCTCATTTATCAGTCAAAATCAGACGCATCCATGAGGCCATTTAGGTTGATCAAAACGATTTGTCACTGGGTTCTATATTAAAATGATTTATCAAACATATAACATGCTCTTTCCTCCATAACATGCCATAACTAATTTTAAAACATTTGAGTATAGATTGATTATATACTGAACAAAAATATAAATGCAACACGCAACAATTTCTAAGATCTTACTGAGTTACAGTTCAAATAAGGAAATCAGTCAATTGAAATAAATAAATTAGGCCCTAATCTGTGGATTTCACATGACTGGGAATACAGATATGCATCTGTTGGTCACATATACCTTAAAAAAGTATGCAGTCCATGGAAGAACTGGGACATTTTCAGCTTACAGGAATTATGTACAGGTCCTTGCGACATGGGGCTGTGCATTATCATGCTGAAAGATGAGGTGATGGTGGCGGATGAATGGCACGACAATGGGCCTCAGGATCTGTGCATTCAAGTTAAAATGCAATTGTGTTCATTGTCTGTAGCTTATGCCTGCCCATACCATAAGCCCACCGCCACCATAGGGCACTCGGTTCACAATGTTGACATCAGCAAACCGCTTGCCCACATGACGCCATACACGTGGTCTGTGGTTGTGAGGCCGGTTGGGCGCACTGCCAAATTCTCTAAAACGACGTTGGAGGCGGCTTATGGTAGATAAATGAACATTAAATTATCTGGCAACAGCTCTGGTGGACATTCCTGCAGTCAGCATGCCAATTGCACGCTGCCTCAAAACTTGAGACATCTGTGGCATTGTGTTGTGTGACAAAACTGCAAATTTTAGAGTGGCCTTTTATTGTCCCCAGCACAAGGTGCACCTGTGTAATGATCATGCTGTTTAATCAGCTTGTTGATATGCCACACCTGTCAGGTGGATGGATTATCTTGGCAAAGGAGAAATGCTCACTAACAGGGATGTAAACAATTTTGTGCACAACATTTGAGAGAAATAAGCTTTTTGTACGTTTTGAACACTTCTGGGATCTTTTATTTCAGCTCATGAAACATGGGACCAACACTTTACATGTTGCATTTATAATTTTGTTCAGTGTAGTTAACAATATGGAATAGGCCAATCAGTAGTGGTATCAACGGCCAGTGGAATTTGTCATCAGATCACCGCATTGACGCAAGTGTTCAGGTGGACTACCCACCCTACACACTTTAGTCACTCATGCCTTTGACTCTAGTCCAAAGCATGGGGTGACATTCCCTGACTAATGCTATGTTATTTACTGTAACTATCATATAGGTGTGAAAAATGTGTAACTCAGTTACTGAACTGTGATCAGAGACAACCATAGTAGGCTACATGGGAGGAGAACAAGTGCTGCTTTACACAGACGGTTTAAAATAAGGTCATTCATTAGTCAGTATCCTCTCCATAAAGGCTACAAAGCAGTATGGAACAACAGTATGAGGGTAAGGCATGGCATGCTCCATCACTGGAATACCAAATCTACCTGTTGTATTTTATGCATTATTTCTTTGTTCTCTGAAGCTTACATACAGTTAACTGCCAAATTAAAGGACACACCTGAGTAAATGAGGGATACAAAGTATATTGAAAGCAGGTGCTTCCACACAGGTGTGGTTCCTGAGTTAATTAAGCAATTAACATCCCATTTTGCTTAGGGTCGTGTAAGAAAATGCCCAGTTGCCCATTATATTGGCTACCATGGCTAGAAGAAGAAATCTCAGTGATTTGAAAGAGGGGTCTTAAAGGAGCATACGGGTTTAAAGGGTGTGTGTATGTGTCTCAGTCACCAGATCTCAACCCAATTGAACACTTATGGGAGATTCTGGAGTGGCGCCTCAGATACCGTTTTCCACCACCTTCAACAAAAACACCAAATGATGGAATTTCTCAGAAGAATGGTGTCGCATCCCCCTCCAATAGAGTTCCAGACACTTGTAGAATCTATGCCAAGGTGCATTGAAGCTGTTCTGGCGCCTGTGGCAGCCCAACACTTTATGCTGGTGTTTTCTCCATTTTGGCAGTTACCTGTATAATCAGGGACGGCTTGTTCAATAGGGCGATATGGGCGACGCACTGCCAAACGGGAAAAGGAAGGGATTTTTTTTCTAATCAATTATATCACGGCAACAGCAGTTATCAGTGTTCACGTCTGATCTGCCAGCCACTAAATGTCAAATCAGGCTAAAGTCGTGCTTCAAATGGCCCCGCCCGTTTTTTGGGCGATTTCAGTCAGGTTGAAAATCGCCCAGAAGTCTCTCATAGCCTGTCATGTAAAATCAATTTTTTTCACATTTCAAAGCTTTCAATACATTCTCTATGGGTGTCTGTGGGCTTGCACTTACGCGCTTTCGTCATACGTGACGTAACGTTGAACGTAACTAAGACAATGGCGGCTAGCAGCGTCTCTGTTGTGACCTGCAGTGTGGCGTTATTTTATGTTTTTAATTTGTAGACTTAGTTTACAAACATTCTGCAAACATTCTGCTTTGGACTGATCTTCGGTTTTGGACTGATCTTGTTTATCGTGTACATACCCGCTACGAACGGACTAAATAATGAAAACGCTGCTGGCAGCGGAATCCCAATACAGCTGGGAGACTTGGCTGGATGACAGAGTCCCGGACAGAGAGGTGGAGCCGGCCGGCTTCACCCTGGTCAGAGCGGACCGCGATCCTGGTAAGAGAGCGACTCTGTACCCCGACATTGAACTGCTTTCTGTGTCATTGAACCTTACTATTGTTGATAAAACAAGTTTACTGGAGAACGGAGACCAAGTAGAGACTTTTGGACAAGGTGGATAATTGTATAATATAAGGCAGTTTATTCAGAGGTAAAGATATCTGGAATCGCGTGCACGGACCCGTTCGTCAAACTCGTAGGGAGTTTATCAGAAGAGCCCCTAAACATTGTGTGCTGACATTTTATACAATAAAATGAAGTAGGTTGAATCTAGTAGTTCTGATCTTCTGATTGGTCCTGATGAGTTGGGCGAGGTCACCTCCAGGCTAGTGTCACTGTTGCATTGGCTCTGAGTCGGGTTCTCTGTCTTCAGATGTTCAGCCTAAGAGAAGAGGATTTGTGTGTGTGTGTGTGTGTTTGTTATCAGTGTGTGTGTGTGTGTGTGTGTGTGTGTGTTTGTTATCAGTGATGATGTGTGTGTGTGTGTGTGTGTGTGTTTATCAGTGATGATGTGTGTGTGTGTGTGTGTGTGTGTGTGTGTGGGTGTGTGTGTGTGTGTCCTCAGGGCAAGAACTCGTGAGCTGGAAGAACTGAGAGACCTATGGCGTGGGTGTTATCCTTAGCCACCTGCTGACAAGGCTGACAAGATAGGACTCTTGTTCATTGTATTGAATACAAAGGCCCAACACAAAATGGGTCATGCACAAGATTTTAGTCAGACCAAGCTATAACATTATATATTTACTACGACAGTACATTCAACCAAAAGCTAATATAACAAAGGCATCAGAGATTATTTATAATCTGTCACAGAAACTGGAATCCATCTCCCCAGATCAGTCAATAAATGCTTCTGGTATTGACTTATATGCTGCCCCTGTCTTCATGTTGTTGCTGGACATATCTTTTTTAAAATGTGTGTAGGTCACCTAAATCATCAGAAATATTGCCCCTCCTGAGAATTTTTTCAGGAGCCGCCACTGTGTATAATAACTGATAGGCTAGTGGCAAGGCCCCAACATTTTTCAGATACCCCTACCCAAGGTACAACAAAACACAACCATGTTTTTTCACATCTTTAATGTCTCCCATTAATGAAACGGATGGTTGTGTAAAAATATTTTACTGCAAAAGTGATTAAATTGATAGATATTGTGACACACCGCCTAAACTAAAAAAATCCCTAGCTGGAGAGGGGATGGGCCGCATAAGCCCAATATTGCAAGTTCTGATATTGCAAAAATGTGGAATACAAGTAGTCAGTTGTCTGCCCTACGTACACAAACAAACAAACAGCATTAGGATATCTTAATGCATCTTGGAAATAAAGACCTATAAACACAGAGATACAATAGTTGGAAATGTTAACTATGAACAGTTATGATAAATGTAAGCTTTTACTTTTTCATAGCTAATTTATAGACAACTTTCCAAGTCAACTGGGTGAGGAGACAAAGTAGCTAGTGGTGGTTGTAGTTCTGGGGTTTGACCAGCTTGCACAGCTAACTGGTCATTCTGAGCATGCTGCAGCGACAAGGCCAGTATCCTTCCTGTATGACTGGCGGGGTATTGGGTCTGTGTTGTGATCAGTTTCCAAATAAACAAGGGTTGGGTGCAGTCAACAGATGCAGTTTGCATGCCAACGAGACCCGTTGACTAACTGGAATGTTATCTCAGTCTGAATGATGCTGGGGACACTCCAGTAGTGGAATGGTTGGTTGTCTGGTTGTGAAGGAGAGT